TTGTAAATATAATAATAATAACAATAAAGAGAATGAAAAAAAAAAAGTTCATGAGAAGACCTTCTACTTTCCCTCCCTTCTCTCACCTCTTCCTGAGGCATGAGATCCTGATAAGAGAAAGACAATTGATTTCTGGGGAATGAAACTGGATTGCATCTGTGCCTTGTGACTCATACTAGAAGTCCACCCTATCTATTTCCAAGGAAAATTGCACAGTTCCCGACTGCCTAGTGACTGCAGAGTCAACCAAAGGACACTGGTGTCCGGTCTTTTATATTTGGGAATTGAGTTCCAGTAGCGGTCTGGAGCTTCTTCTTAGAAGAGGCTTGGGGCTGCACTTTGAATGGAGAGGTTACAGAGCTATGTTTACAAAACAAAACAAAACAAAAAAACCTCTGTTTACTTACACGTTTACATGTATAAAGAATTGGGGTGCCTTTTGGGGATGACGGCGGTAGTGAGGTCCACAGTGCTTGCACGGCCACTTTATCTTAGGGGGTGGGAAGCCACAGTGTGATAACTGCTGGGGAGCTGTCTTAGTTACTTTTCCAGTTATTATGAGAAAATATCCGGACAATAGCAGTATAGGCAGAAAGGGTTTATTATCAAATGCCAGGGCTCAGTCTATCACCGTAGGACAGTCACAGAAGCCTAAAGTAGCCGGCCACATTACATCCACAGTCAAGAAACAGACAGCGATGACTGCTTGCTCCACTCATAGTCCAGAATCCCAGCCCGTGGAACTTTCGGTGGGTTAGTGTTCCCATCTCAATTAACGTAATTAAGGAGGTCCCTCACAGAGATGCCCGGAGACGCACCTCCCAGCTGATTCCAAGTGTCATCACATTGACAGTTGACATTAACCATCACAGAAGTCTAGAGGTTACTTATCTGATTGAGGTGACCAGATAGGTAGCAGATATTTAAAAAAAATAAACAAGGTGGCAATTGTTTTGGCTGATGGCTGCAGAGCATTTGGCCCATGGTCATTTGGTACTAGTGCTTGGCAGGACAACTAGTGTGTGGCAGAGAAAGGAGCTCACCTCAGACAGGAAGGAGAGGGCTTGTAGGAGAAAAGGGAGGAAGGAGTACTCCTGAGCATCATCCTCCCTCTAGGTCTCACCTCCCAAAGATTCTGAACCCTTCAAGTACAGCATCATTTGCCAGCGAGCAAACATTAAAACCATGAGCCCGTGGTGGGCATTACATGGTCAAATCAAAACAGATGTGGCTAGAGCTGGACCATTAATCCACTTCCTGTCCTCTAATACACTTAAGGGAGAAAGCTTACAAGCGGATCTAGCCTAGGGGACAAAATGGTTCTTTGTTGCCTTCTGTCCCTCCTGCTCCTCATTTGATTTTCAAAGGCCAGAGAGAGGACACTAATCCCGAGCCAGTTCATTCTAGAGGCTTCTTATCTATCTTGTGGATTGTCCAAGAACAGGAGAGGAGACTGGACAGTATGGGGGAGCAACCCATGTTTTGCTGGAGGTTTATATATCTGCCTTGTGCATTATATATATATATATATATAATCTTGTGTGATGTAAATGATATTAAAATAACAACACTAAAATTCAGAAATATTAACTGTAAAGTTACCAGCTAGGAATTGAAGCCCTGTCAAATTAGCCATTCAAAGGGTGAGGATGAGGAGGGAAATTATAGGGCTAGGTGTTGTATTGATTTTGGTAACTTGAACAATGAGACCTGGGAAGTCAGAGGCCATTGCAGGAACACAAAGGCCTTTATAGATCTGCCATTCACTCCTGCACTGGTCTGTTTAGCATCCGAGGACTACTTTGCAAACTTGAGTGTGTACAGGGGATTAGGTTACTTTAACCAACTGTCAACTGTTGGAATACAAAGTATTCCCAAGAAACCCATGTGCACAGACCAAATTTAAAGACGTTCCTGCAACTTTTACATGTGTTTTTCTTTCCTGAAAATTGACCTGGCTGAGAGAGTACTTAAAGCCTCAAGCTTGATATTGCTCTTGTAGGCTGTGTGGTGGAGCCTAGGATGGTTGTGTCCACACTGCACAGGTATAGACTTTTTTTTTTGTCTTCGTCATTGCCTATAAATATCTACTTACATAACATTTCACATTGTAGTAGGTATAGGTACCCCAGAGCTGATTTATAGCATTAATCATCAGACATATATAGGCTATGTGCAAACACTACACCATTTTATATAAAGGATTTGAGCATCACGGATTTTGGTCGTTGTTGAGGGTCCTGAACCATTTCTCTTCAGATCCTGAAGGTCAGCTGAGCTCAATCACATGTGGGATTCAGATTTCTGGGTCCCAACTCAAACTGGCTTCATAATTGCTTGATCTGTGCCCCTGTGATATGTCTCTGGGTGATTTTGTTTATCCAACAAGCACAACACAGACCCAGACTAGCTTCTGAAATCCCCTCTATATGGCACCTAGTCAACAGACCAGGACTCATCTCTGTCACATCTGCCCTCATCACTTTCAGAACACTTTTTTATCTATATTTTATGTGTAGGGGTGAATTTTGCTTGCATAAATGTCTGCACCCACAAAGGTCAGAAGAGGGTACTAGATCCCTGGAACTGGAGTTATAGGTGGTTGGTTATGGGTGGCCATGTGGGTGTTGGGAATTGAACCTGAGTCCTTTGGAAGAGCAGCCAGAGCTCTTAACCACTGAGCCATCTCTCCTTCCCCTTAGGTAAACTTCTTAACTTGCCTATGATGTCATTTCCTGTTCTGTAACATTGTTACTTCATTGGTTATTTTGTGACTAAAATATTCCATTGTATAGTGCAGTATTTAGTACATAAATGGTCAATAAATGATACTTTATTACTAATTATATAGTATAATTATCATCTATGCAAATCTCTTTAAACAAACTCTTGGTTACAGTAATAGAAATAAAATCAATTGGTAGTTGGTTGTTTACAAAAATACATAGAAAAAAAAGGAAAAAAATCAATTTATTAAACATTTAGAAGAACAAATAAAATTTCAGACTTGACAGCATAAATACCACCAGTATCAAGGTATACAATTACACTCACCTCTCGTTAACTTGAACCTATTTAACAGATGCAATCTTTGTGGTGTTGCCGAAAGGATAATAGCTAATTGTTATGTCTCATGAGGTGCTAAACAATTACAGATTTTATGTCTCCATTTAAACATCCATACACAAACACACATTCCCCTGTACACATTTTGGCAAAATGCATTGACTGTAGTTACTAAAAATTCAGTCGGTCAAGACTTACACGTTTTGCTCATTTGTTAATGACACTGATTTTACCAAACCCCTGGAGTTGAATTTGGCTTCGCCAGAGAAATGTACTCAGGAGCTCTCGGCAGGAAGCAAGTACATTCGGAGCCAGAGCAGAAGGTGTCTGCCACAGGAGGGCATCCCACCTCGGTCACCTACAGGGAACCAATCCCAACGTTAAATCCCGGCCTGCGGACATAGGCCACAGACAGCCCAGACCCTGCTTGGGCACCTTGCTATTTAACTCTGACAAAGTTTGAGTTTTTCTAAAAGAAACAACAAGGGCAGAAACAGACGAACCCTTAGAAAGATCGAAGTGTAACTTGTATTGTACACAACGTCAGTTGATTCACCTTTGGCGGGAGGGAAGTTGCTGCCTACAGCTCTGCACAGCTCTTCCAAACTCAAGGCTACAGCCCTTTCAACGGTCCATTTAGAATTAATGTAGATTTCCACACGGGGCTAGTGGGTTAGAAGGAACCTCTGGGCTCTTTTATCTGGCTTCCCACTCACCCAGTGACTGAATCCCATCACGCCCTTCTCAAATGCAGGGTCCTTTTGCTTCAATGGATGGTTCCTTAAGGGCCTGTTATATTTAGAGACAAAGGCCTAGCCCGGCCATGCCTGATGTGTTTGTGAACGGCTCAAAGCACCGCTTCCTCTAGAGTTGAACATTATCATCTATAGCCCTCCCATCCCCTTAAGGTAGCATCAGCAGAGAGATACATGGATTCATTTATATTTTTACTTCCTTTGAAAATATTGTTGAAAAACGAGATGACATGACCTAGTCGGGAAGTTGCAATGCTGCTCATTCCACATTGTGTCTAAATGACACAGCATGCTACAGCTTGGATGCACTTTTAGTGGCCAAATAATTAGTCATGGGAAGATGCCTACATTGAAATGGTAACAGTTGACAACAGGACTTCCTAACAGCTGTGGTCTGCTGCAGTCACCTGACCCTGGGTCCTAGCTTCTCAGGACACTGAACGGCATGGCCTCTCACCTACTTAACGTCCACAGACAAATAGAAGTCAGCCTAGGGGAGGGGGTCGATAATTAACCATAGATAAGGCACCTGTGAAGATTCCAAAGTGTTGATTTTTGTTGTTGTTTTGTTTTGTTTTTTAATGAGGTAGGTTTCTAAAACCTTTCCCAGAATACAAAAAAATGTAAGTTTTTATTATGATTTTTTTAAATGTCTTCTGCAGAAAACATGTGTGGTATTCATTTGATGGAAAACGATTCCAGAATAGACCAGGTATGTTTTTCTGACAACTACTACTTGATAGTTCCACGAATCTGGATGGTTCACCTGTGCAACACGTCAACACTTCTCTACTTAAGGTCATATATACTCATCTTTGCTCTGGGGAACACCGTCATTGAACAATTCTGCACCTGCTTTTTTATCTTCAAAAAGACCAACTCTTTGTCATCCCATGGCTATTACTGAGTCATCTCTTATTCAGTTCTATGTAAGGTTGTTGAAGCTTTTTTTTTTTTATTAGTAGTTTCCTTGGAAAATTTATTTCAAGTCTCATACTCTCTCCTACCCTGCCATTATCTAAGGCTTGAAACAAAACAGGCACCTGGGAAGAAATCCTACAGGTCTCATTTTCCAGAACTGTGACACTAGACCATAGTGCAGCTGATGGAATGAGAAGGGTATCACTGGATCCACCGAGAATTCAGGTACTGTGAAGGCAGGAGACCGGAAACCATCCATGGATGAAAGGGGATTTTAATCGAGCACAAAATGTGCCTTTGAAGAAACAGCAGACTCTCTTGACATTATACAACTCAGTGAAACAAAAGAAGAACCATCTTTAAAGTCAAAACATCTATCAAATCATAAGCCATACACATAGCACCGAGGTCAACCTTACACTGCATGAGATGTACAGGCCGAAAGAGAACAAAATCATTTGGGGCTCTGGCAATAACACTCCATGCCAGCAACTCAGAACTCTAAAGTGAACATTTATGTAGCAGATGCTTTTCCTAAAAAACACTGTATCATCCAATAAATATTTGACTAAAACCCATTTTGTGCTTTTGGGTGACGTTAACTGACTTCCTCCCGAGACCTAATAAGAAACAAGAAAGGGCTGGAGCAGGATTCGTCACAGCAAGCCTCAATATTGTCATAAAATTTTAATTCTAAGCAGAAAACATGCTGATGTGTCAGTAATAGGTTTAAAATATTAAAGACTTCAAAAAACCCCCAAGCACTCCTCCGAACAGCATTGGTGAATATATATCTTTGCTATATAATTTTAAAACATGGAATAGTTTTCCTTTTTTTCTCTTTTCTATATATAATATATGACTTCCAAAATACATTGTCAGTATTTATATCTGAAAAATACTGTACAAAAAAGAACTTCCTATAATTACTCTGTATAAACATTAAACAATTTAATAATCTCTCCTTTTGGTCTATAGTAAACATTTAAATTCATTGGATAAACCACAGTTTGTGACAACACCATCCCCTTCCGAGATACACCAGTGTCTTTTACATTCATTTTTCAGAAGTCCACTTGATAGGCGCACATACGTTCAAAAAGCAAACAGGGGATAAGAAACACAGAATCATAAATTTGAGAGGCATTCAAAAAAGGACACCACAAGGGGCAAGAAGGGGGGGGGGTGCTTTAAAAAACGTCAACCTTTTAACTTAATTAACTGATTTCTAAAAACAGCAAAATGTCGTCCCCAAAATACATATTACAAAAAAAAAAGTAGGTGTAGGTGAACTGAATCTTAAGTAACTGAACCATTTTGAATATCAAGAGGGAGATGGAAAAAGTTAACTAGAAAAGTGGGAGTGGCTGGGTGTAGGGAAGGGAGACAGCACGAAGCACACCCATGGCAAAGCCTTCACCAAGATGTTTTTTTTTTTTTTTTTTTTTTTTTTGGCTTACATACCGATAAATTAATCCCTCATTCTTAGGCTCCCCATTACCCTCTGCTTCCCTGTCCTGAGAATGTTCCGGTCATGCGCAAATGCATTACTTTGATTTTTTTTTTAAAAGACAGTGAAATTCCTAGGTAGGGAAAATTTCCTACATCCACTAGTTAATACTCAGGCAGCATGCTCTAGCGTACACTAGGATTATTGCTTTAGGTACAGACAGTGCAAAACACACTCTGTGTTCTATAATGGTACTTGCTTATCTGGGGTTGGTGGAGTCAAAAGGAAACTTAGTAGGTAGCAGTAAGTAAATACGGGATCTACTACATCTAAACAGCACTTTAGATTTGAAGAGAGTTATCACCAAAACTGAAAGGAAAACGAGAAAGGGCGGTGAGAGAGAGGGGAAAGGAGAGAGGGGGAACCTATGAAGGAATTCGGCTGTAGTGCTAGGGTAGGCTGTGCACCTTCTTAGCACGGCAATTCATGGTTGAAACAGAAACAAGAGCTTATGTTCTTGACAACTGAGATCGGCCACTTCACCAGGGACCTGTCTCCTGAAGCCACGCAGACCCTGGCAAAGTAAGATGGCTAGGACATGAAGCAAGGGGCAGAAAGGGGCAGGAGTAGAGAGGGGAGGGGAGGAAACCCCACAGGGGTCCCCAGAGTGTAATAAAAACATGGCACCTTTCTTGTTCAGAACTAAAAGACAACAAGAGGACTATCTTAAAATGGCAAGTGTGAAGGAATACACACACACACACACACACACACACACATACACACATACATACCGCTGACCACACATGGGACTATAAGCATGTGTACAGACACACACACAAACACACACATAAAGAGATGCACACCAAAATGAGTCAGTTGCGTTTATGCCTCTGGTAAAGTGCTGATGTCAGAAAGGTTGGTTTGGGTGTGGTGCTACCAGACAGGAAACAAGCTGTCCATCTATTCAAAAGCCAGCCCACAAAAATGCCATCCTACAGGGGCCCATGCCTGGCCTCGTACTTGGCAAGTATGTTCTTGCATTTGCCCAGCTCCTTCCTTAAGTCAGCCACCTCCTGGCGGAGGGCCGAGTTCTCTTTCTCCAGGAATGAGGCCCGGATTGCAATCTGGTTCTCCTTCAGCCGCCGGGCATCACGGGAGCGCTTGGCCGCCATATTGTTCTTTCTGCGCCTCGCCCAGTACTTGTCATCCTGCTCATTAGTTACAGAAGGAAAAAGAAACAAGATATTAGGTTTCAGCTGCACTGGGTGGCAGCCAGGGGTGGGCTGAGACACAAGCCTGGGTTTCTTAATTCCTGTCTCCTTCCTTTACAACTTCTACGTGTCTGAGGGAATGGCCTGCCAGCCATGGCTTCCTTCCTAGAGAAAAGACCAACCTGTCACAACAGGCTTTGCCCAACGCAGTTGTGTGCCCAGTGAGGCAGAGCTCAGAGCTCAGCTGAAATCTGGAGGTACACCACACACCCTAAATTCCATTCTAATATTCTTCACTCTCTTGGTTATATTTTTTTAACTTATTTTTTTCTCCCATGAATACACATGTAGCCTTATCTACATTGGGAGTGTGTTACTGGAAGGCAATATGGTAATATCTCTCAATAATATACATACATAATTTCTGTTTTTTTAATTAACTAACCTCCCCCTTTAAGAGAAGGTCTTACATAACCCAGACTGGTCTTGAACTCACTATGTAGCCACAGCCACCTGAACTCCTAATCCTCCTGCCATTGCCTCCTTATCACCACCATGCCAAATCTCTTTAAAATCTACCTCGATGAATACAGCCCTACCTTCATGATTCCATCTAGCATTCTCCATGTATATAGACACAGGTGCAATTATTTATTATAAAATTATTTACAAAAGCTAAAAGTGAGAAAAAGTAATCATCTATAGTAGAGTTGATAACTACGTTATCATAGAGTCACACAGAGGGACACTTTACAGTTGCTAAAAATAAAGTCTTGGGGTGGGTTTGGGGGACTGCAAAGATCTGTGTGATACACTATGACGTGGGTAGAAACTAGCAAATCTCCTGGAGATGATGCACGTTTATCACAGTTTGATTAAAATTACACTTTACTAATAGTGGGAAGCCCAGCTGGATTTATTGTGGCCAATATAGGTGCCTCTACAAGGGAGACCAAACCAGCAAGGCAACAGCCAAAGGGTATATAAACACCCTTTTAGTTTATATCCTGAGCTACCAGAATATCACCTAAGGGGCATGTCCACTTTGGTAATTGAAAACAGAAATTAAAAAATATATTAGCTTTCATTACCCAATGTACTCCTACCAATGGCTAACATTTAAATAATGTATTCTAATTTCCTGTGTAACTGCTTGCTGGGCTTTAATTACTGCATATGGAATTCCCATATCTGGCTTTATCATTGCTCTCCTTATCAAAAGAAAGGAAAGCTCCCAGGAGGACTGATGGGGAATCTTTTTGGACCTTCTTAATCCGATGAGGGGATGGCGCCAAAAGGAATTTCTGCAACTCCGTTTCTATCAACAACTTGCTACAGCGAATATCTCTGTTTTTCCAAAGCTGATACTTTAGTTCATGCCTCCTAGAATAAGTGGGTGAGACCAACCCCTCCCCTCGCTTGGGATGCTGAGAACAGCTGGCATTGGAGGGAGTCATTCACATGGGTATGGCTCAAGGCTGCAAAAGAAGTTTAAGGTAAGTGGTCTGCCCCTATACTTGTCCATTACCCTCAGCAAACATGTACCTTGTGTGAAGACTGTGTGGGAGATGGGAAAGTGTGTGGAGGAACTTCCTGTCTGCTTGTCACAAGATTGTCCTTTGTTCATAAAGTGCCTCTAGATTTCTATACATCTCATAGTATGTAACAGGATGAAAAAGTGATCTTCATAACAGCTGGTATGAGAATTCTTCTTAGGGAGGAGAGAGCCCTTTGAGGCAAACCCAGGAGCAAGTGTGGACAGGTATTCTATGGTTGTTGATAGAATTTGGTGTTTGTGCATCTCAAAGCTGGTGGGACGGGCACAAAGGGAGACTGGCTGTCCCAGTGATATCACATAGGTGAGGGGAACCAAAGGTTTCTTCACAACAGTGAGGCATCCAGCTCTGATGGAGCCTGTTTGTGTGACTTGGATGTCATCCTCCCTTCCACCCCCTTTATAGTATCAGGAAGCCTACCACATTTGTCAATATGCCTAGGAGTATGGTTTCCAAGAACATTCCGATGAAGGGCTGAGTCAGAGCGAATCAGAACCTACACACAAGGGGACATGAGAGCAGGAGGTGAGGCTGTACATGAGAGCAAGCTCTTGGGAAGTTGTAGAATGGATTTGACTCTCTGTGACAACTCTGACCATGTCTTTAAGGACCAAGGACTCACCAACTGACCTTAGTGTAACAAACTCAACTTCTCTTCGGAGTTTTTACTCAGACCTCTTATCACTTGTAAAGCGCTTTTCCCCCAAGCCTCATCTGCCCACACATACAGATGAGCTAGATGAAGTGTGGAATGGAGAACAAGGCTCTTAAGTAGGAAGGAAAGGAAGAACAGAGCTGTAAGAAAGGATGGAGAAGATGGGAGTGATGGAAGAGGGAATGCCTGCCCCAGCCTAGAAAAACCACCTTGCCTCCTTTCATCATTCTGATTCGAAACAGGGAGGCAGAATCCCTAGTGAACATGATAAGATTTGACACTAGACCCCCTGTTCCATCCTGTACCTGCCATAGCTGATGCTCTCTGGCTACCCTGTTACCTTCAGGCAGGGACTGACACTCCCCATTTCTCTACAGAGTAGAATGTCTGTGAGATCCAGTACAGTGTTGATGCTGGCTCGCGTTAGCATCCCCTAAGCCTCTGAATGAATGATCCTTAAGCGTGCTAAGGAATAAATGTGAATATGCGTTATCAGTTAGGAGTCCCCGTATGTCATCATTTAGCTCTCCCTCAGAATGTATGCTAACCCAAAAGGCCAGAGAAGAAACTCAAGCACGTGTGGGAAAGACCATCCTTGGTAGGTTCTGCCCCACTTCTTGGTTTGCTTGTCATCTGATACTGAGGGCCACACACACCTTGTCTCCCACCCACCCCAGCTCAGTCCTCTCTGCTGAAAGGAGAAACCCTCTCTCTCTCTCTCACACACACCCTTCTCTTCTTCTTGCTTCTTGTCAGCTTCAGATTTGTGCCTTGAGGCTTCACCTGCAATTGAGAAGAGCCTCTAAGGGCACATTACAGGGGAAGGCTCCTGCCAGTTCCCTACCCGTCATGCGTAAAGGGCAGGCTTAGCCATGACAGCAGTGATGCATATGATTCCAGGACAGATGGTTCATCATGGCCTCTTTGCTGCCAAGAGTACATGGGCCATTAAATACACTCACTCTTCAAACACAAAAACTCAGAGACTATGGCAAGGTCTGGCCAGAAGTTTAATCTACTACTTGCTAGCATTCTGTCAAACCACTTCCCAGTCAAGAAGGGTCCCATGCTGAATAGGCTTCCTGGTTTAGGTGAAGGGATAAAACTCTGAAATACACAGAATTAGATTACTAAGAACTCAAGACCCCAGAAGGCATCCAACTGCAAGAAGACATTTTATTCAGCTTGGACCTAATCCCACAACCCCTTACAGTCTAACTCTCAGATCCTTGAGGAGTATTCTTCCTGTAGGCTTTGCTGGTTTTGATTCTTAGGGTGACAGCTCTTGTTTGTTGCATGAGGGCCCCTTGTCTGGGCTAATGTGCTCCACTGACCTTTCTAGAACCTGTCTTAACTCTAAAGTAGAGTCCCCTTTCTGCTCCTCCATTTCCTCAACTGTGAAATGATAACTTTGGATTTCAGCCCTGTCACTTGCCCATTCTATGGCGATTAAGGCATTCTCAGATGTGAGGATGGCAGCCATGCTTTAGATCTCCTCAGTACAGCTGCCCCTGTGTTCTTTCTAGATACAAAAATGTAGAAAGTCTGGCCTACCACTGCATGCAATGTCCCAAACTCTCATTCTCCTAGGGAGTGTTCTCTATATATGAAGCATATTTAGGTCTGGGCAATGGGAATCAGGTGTTAGAAAAGGGCTAATTATGTTTGATCCTACCACACTGAATACATGCAATCATTTATTGTTCTCACTACTGGAAAAAAAAAAAGCATAAACAGAAAAAGTCCTATGAAATGGCTAATCATAAAGAGTTCTGTGCTAGAAGAATTTCAGGAATATCCTTCATCCTAACGTAAATGCATCAGAATAAACAGGCCAATCTGTTTCCCTGATTCATGCATCCCCTTCAACACAGCAGAGAAAAACCACCCAGAACAGAGTGTTTAGTTAATTTCGTGAGAGCTTTATATGACACACAAATAATGGCAGTGGGTCCAACGTCTCTGCCCAAAACATGCTGTCCCGGTTACCCAGAGTCAGCAATGTGGAAGGGGAAACCCAGACTTGTCTAGTCCCCAAGACACTCAAGGAAATGGTAGAGTTCACTATCAACAGAGTGAACACTGGAGGCAAGGCTCAGGAAACTGAAGCCAGTCCACGTTCCTTCTCAAATCATCTAGTTCTGTTTTGTTTTTTTCCCTTGCAGCCTTGAAAGAGTTGGGCTTGATACATGAGCTCATGGGATCTCTTGTAGAGAGGAGCCAGTTTGCTTCCTTTGGGGACTTAACAACTCTCCAGACTTTCACCGTTTCTCCCCACGTCTGATCAGTATCAAGACATGAAAGCATATTTCAGAAAACTCCTAGAGAGAAAGTACTGTGCCAAGAAGTCACGTCACGTGCCAACAAACATAATCAGAACTCACAGGCCCTTTGTTTCCAAGTGTGTACGGCCTTCCTGAAATCACCTCTTTGTTTTCCCCTAATCCCACTCTCCATTTGCCCACAGCCTGATTACCAGTTCCAATTTACCTTCAAATCATCGGGAATGAAGACTTTGCGAGCTTTCTTAATCATGGGCTGTGGCTTCAGTTCTTCTTCCGAGAACTTGCGTTTGCGTGGATCAAACATTTCCTGCCCCGGGATGCTGGAGAGGGCAAGGTCTGCTGGGTCTGGTTCATACCCAACTGGGACCTGGATGGTGTCAGGGTCAATGGGACTCGGTGTATTGCGGTTTGCTGGCAACAGCTGGCCTGGAAGAACACAGGAGGTTTAATTTATGTCAGTTCTAAGCCAACCCAGGTCAGAGCCACTTAGTGATTTTCTAGGAGTGATGAGAGACTTTTAACTAACTTATGTCTGACCCTACTGCCATCTGTCTTTATTCATCTATCTTCACCGTACTTCCAAGAACACAGCAGGCACAGCATGATTGGCTTATGTCTTATCAGGCAAAACAAACAGGATGGAGAAATTTTTAAAAAAATACACATTCTTATTTTCCTATCCCATGCATTGTGTTGGCTAGTTTAATGTCAACTTGACAAGAGCTAGAGTCATTTGGAAAGAGGAAACCCCGACTGAGAGAGTGCCTCTAACAGAATGGCCTAGGGCAATCTTAATTGATGATTGATGTGGGAGGACTCAGCACACTGTGGGTGGTGCCAGCCCTGAGCTTGTGGTCCTAGGTACTATAAGAAAGCGGGCTGAGCAAGTCTTAAGGAGCAATCCAGTAAGCAGCACTCCTCTGAGGTCTGCATCAACTCATGCCTCTAGGTTCCTGTCCTATTAAATTTCCTTCCCTGACACCTTTCCACGATGTATTGTGATGTTGAAGAATAAACTAAATAGACCCTTTCCTCCCCACGTTATTTTTGGTGTTTTATCACAGAAATAGTAATCCTAAGTAAGATAGACATTGATACTAGAGAGTGGTTGTTGATGTGACAGACCTAACCACGCTGTTTGGGGAAGGATTGTGGAAGGACTTTGGTGCTTGGGGCTGGAACGCCACTGAATGCTCAGAGCTCTGTGAGTTTTTCTATGGGAATTTGGAAGATAATGCTGTGCAGTGTAGATTATGGAGGCCTGGCATGTAAAGTTTAAGAGTAAAGTTTTGAGTCCCTCAAAGACTCTATTAAGACTCTATAAGACCATCTGATACTTTGAGTTTAAGAATGTTGGAAGAACCCTGCTGTTTGAGATTGTCCTTCCAGTCCTGAGTTAACCATTCTGAGTTCAGCATTAAGAGGCAGGGCCCCCACTCCCCAACAGGGCCTCCTGCTCTCTGCCTAGCTTCATCTAGAGAGTTTCTTTAGACATAGATGCTCCTAACCACATTTGATATATGGCCTTGGACACAGCTTCCTGCTAGCTCTCCCCTCCCCAGTCTATATGATAATTAGGTACTATGTTTCCATTCATATGATAGGAACATGCTGTTTAATGCAAATCAAGTATACTTGAAGCGCCTAGTCTTAACCAGATATGTACACCTATCCCTGAAGCCCCTCACCACTCCCCAAGGGGAATACAACCTTTGTTCTCTGAAATTAAAGTTGAACTAGCTTTCTGCAGTGATTCCCAGTATGGCTGATCTCCATAGAGTGCTCACCAGCCTTTCTAGCCTTGAGCCTGGTCTTGTGCCCCTCCTGACTTTGTGGGCTGGTGGGAGACAGACCCCCAGGCAGGAAAAGAACCACATAGGAACCCATTTTTTTATCAACTGGGGCTGAAGAATCAGTTGTGATTAACAAGACCTCAGAAGTGAAACCTTTGCTTTACTGGGACAATTGATGCTGGCTACCCGGGTCCAAGAAATGTGTGGTGTCTAAGAAGAGACTAGCATCAATGAGGTGAAATCTTAGGAGAAACGTTTCTTTGGAATCAACATAGAAGCTGTGTTACACAGGTGGCTAAGGTTGATGGCGGCAGCCAAACTTGGCAATACGTATGAGTCTCCCGGGTGATATCAGTTTTTAGGGCATGAAGTGGTCATGGAGAGCAGCTGGGTCTTGGCACCATGTGAGGCCAGGTGAGGCCATTGGTGAACATGCAGCCTCAGTCAAAGCAGAAGCCCCAGGATTGAAGGGTTCATGGAGAGAAGCTGAGGCTTGGCACCAAGTGGCCAAGAGCCCTCAAAGAGAGGCTGTTTGTGAAGGTGCAGCCAAGTTGCAGTGTAGACCCCCGAATTATGGAGAGGTCAGTGCCGTGGGAAAGCCACCGTGGTGTTTCGTCACAACAACAGTAACTCTAAGATACACACGGAGCACCAGCTACACGCCAGGCATGCTGGACAGTGTGATGGACAGAATTATAGTTCTCACATCAGGTATTTCCCAGGTGAGTCACAGAGATGGCCAATTAGACAGTTAGAGCAAGGTGTAGTGGTAGTCAGACGAAAGTCAATTATCACGTGCATCCAGAGTGTAGGAGACCATACGTAACACAAAAGAGGTTAAGGGGGGATCCTGGTGATGAACCGGTAGAGCTGCATCTTGGAACAGATAGTAATCAGCAAAAGGGCACTCAGGCACAACATTAAGATAGAAATAAGTATTTCAATGTATGTGTGTGTTGTGCTGTATGCTGGCTTGTCAGTTTAGGTATGTGCTCTGTGCCAAGCATGCATGTGAGGCAAAAGGTAGACACTGGGTGTCATTTCTCAATCATTCTCCGCCTTTATTGCCCAAGGTGGTGTCTCTCACTGAACCTTAAACTCATAAATTGAGTTAGGCTGGCTGGCCGATGAGTGTCAGGGAGCCACCTGACTCTACTCCTCTCTCCCTCTTGGGGTTTCACATGGGCTCTAGGGACCTGAATTCAGATCCTAATGCTTTTGTTGCAGGCACTTTACCAACTGAGCCATCTCCCCATCCCCTCATTTGCTAAGTTTTTTTTTTCTTTCCCCTGGGGATAGAGCTATGGCCTTGAGCATTGCAGGCAAGAGTCCATCACTGTGGCACGTCCCCACGCCTCCAGTTTGCATTTTTGAGGAGCTACAAGAAGTCGTCAGTAGTAAGAACCCAGAGCCAGAAGACAGAATAACTTTTAGGTAAAACTATAGACATGAGGCCACAGACAGAGGCCAAACAACTCTGAATGTCACAGGAGGATTCTGAGGAGTGGTGTAACAAACGGCTAGTTTAAAATAACACTCAGGTGGAGACAGGTCGGGCGCAAGGGTATGGTGATATACCACATACACACACACACACACACACACACACACACACACACACACACACACA